GGCGCCCCAAAAGTGTTTAGCATATGAATCATGATTGGTTTATGTCTCTGGTCTAATAACTGTAACATATCTGCTACATCTGAATCCAGTTCTTCTACTTGTATTATCTCTTCAAACTATGTATTTTAATACCTTTGCTGCTGTTCTTGTTGCTGTTGAATGCCAGGCATGACGTACTGTGAAAAAGGAACTGAGGTAAATAGGCCTTTAGTGTGAGGGTTCATGTTTATCTGAGTAGGGTTTAGGCTGTGTTTACTCTCTGTTGTAACTGTCAGAGGCTAAAATACCCTCAGGTGTCCTTCCGTCACCCATGTCATCTTTGGGTGTATTGTAGAGACTTCTTAAAATAAGAAATGTACAGTTCCTTCGGTTTATTCCACAGGTATTAAATGGGAGTCTCTGATGTAATGGAATGTCATGGGTGGAGAGAAATGCTCTATAGTCTTGATTTGGTGTACCTATTTTAATGATCGCATGTCTCTGGGCTGTGACCTTTGGAATAATAAGAAAAATGTCGGGCGCCTGGGGTGGCTCAGTTAGTTATGATCTGGATCTCAGGGTTATGAGTTCAAGCCCCATGTTGGGCTCCACACTGGGCACGGAGCCTACTTAAAGAGAAAAGAAAAGGGGAGCCTGGGTGGCTTAGTCGGTTAAGCGTCCGACTTTCGCTTGGGTCATGATCTCGCGGTTTGTGGGTTCGAGCCCCGCATCGGGCTCTATGCTGACTGCCAGCTCAGAGCCTGGAGCCTGTTTCAGTCTGTGACTCCCTCTCTCTGACCCTCCCCTGCTACGCTCTCTCTCTCTCTCTCTCCTAGAAATAAATTTAAAAAAAAAAAAATCTAAAAAAAAAAAGAGAAAAGAAAAATGTTGGGTTTTTGTCTAGTTCCTAGTAAAGACCGACTAAGCCCTTGAACTTTCTAAATGATAAGGACAATATCAGCGTCTTATCTTCAAAGGAGTGACTGTTGGCAAGCTCCTAGGGAGCTGCAGGATTGGGGTTGGTCGCCAGGAAGACCAAGCTTTGATTGGAGGCTTAGGACTTTCAGCCCAGCCCCCGACCTCTAGGGAGTGGGGAGGAGCTAGAGTTATTGGCCAATCACCAATGATTTCATCAGTCGTGCCTATCTACGCCAGGAATCTTCATCAAAACCCTTCCACCTCAGGATTCAGAGAGATTCTAAGTTGGTGAAGACATCCATGTGTTGGCAGAGTGTTGTAGCTGGAGCAGGCATGGAGGTTCCCTACCTCCCCACCTACTTTGTCCAGTACACCCCTTCCATTTGGCTGTTCCTGGCTTGTATCTCTTAAAATAAATCAGTAATAAAAAGTACAGAGCTTTTGTGAGTTTCTACGGAATTAACAAAGCTGGGAGGGTGCCTGGAGAATCTCCCAGGCCTGGGCCTCCGGTTCGCAGCTGGCGGCTGATGGGGCGCCCATTTTATGGGGTTGTGCTCATACGCTGCAGAGTCTGATGTTAACTCTGGTTAGCGTTAGACCTGGGTAGAATTGTAGGCCACCCAACTGGTGTTAGGAGTTGGAGAAATGGTTTTGGAAAACACCCCACACGTTGGCTGCGAGCAGTGAAAAATGACCTGTGAACCTCACAAGTCTATCTCCATTCCCTACACCCTCAACTTGGGTCACGCAGAAAGGCTGGAGGAAACTGGAGTGGGTTATTTCCTTCCCTGGGCCTGTGTGATTCTTGAGAAACAATCTTTTGAGGACAGGTCTTGTTAAGAAGAACAGAATATTGGGGCGCCTGGGTGGCTTAGTTGGTTAAGCGTCCAACTTCCGCTTAGGTCATGATCTCGCGGTTCGTGGGTTCGAGCCCCGCATCGGGCTCTGTGCTGACTGCGAGCTCAGAGCCTGGAGCCTGTTTCAGATTCTGTGTCTCCCTCTCTCTCTGACCCTCCCCTGCTCACGCTGTCTCTCTCTCTCGGTCTCTCCTAGAAACAAATAAAACATTAAAAAAAAAAAAAAAAAGAAGAAGAACAGGGGCGCCTGGGTGGCTTAGTCGGTTAAGCGTCCGACTTTCACTTAGGTCATGATCTTGCAGTTCGTGGGTTCGAGCCCCGCGTCGGGCTGTGTGCTGACAGCCAGCTCAGAGCCTGGAGCCTATTTCGGAGTCTGTATCTCCCTCTCTCTCTGACCCTCCCCTGTTCACGCTCTCTCTCTCTCTCTCTCTCCTAGAAATAAATAAAAAATTAAAAAAAAAACAATATTGTAGGGATATTTCAAAATGGCTATTATTTTGGACAAAGCGGTTTCCATTGTGACCCCAATTCTTTGATCATTGGATTTTTTTTTTAAGTTACTTGCTTTTTCCTGGTCAGTGTAGAAATGTCACCTTCTAAACTTCTTGCATGCCAGAGAAGAAACCAGAAGTCTCTGGCTCCATTTTTAAATATTTGACTGCTGATATGATAGGAAAACCTAATATTACTCCAGAGTAGAGAAAACACACTTCTTTTCTCCTATGTGTCTTCTTGATATTCACTGAGAACACTCTACTTCCGACAGCTCTGATCATCAAACGGGTGAGGGTTTTTCCCCCACAACCGTGATACCAGCTGAGTGTCCTATAGTATAACTCAGCCTAATACTATCTACCCGTAGGTAGTGTAGAGCCCACAGGTTAAGGGCTGTCCCACAAGACCTCTCTAACCACACTTCAGACACCAGTCACATGTAGTAAGTCCCAACAAGGTTACTCGCAACTTCTGCCCTGCTACAAATCAGAGGTTCCCACAATCTCCTGCTTGGGTTCAATTAATTTGTTAGAGCACCTTCCAGAACTCAGCGAAACACTTACAATTACCAGTTTATTAAAGGATGTGATCAGGGATGCAGATGGACAGCAAGATGAAGAGATAGGTAAGGAGAGTTCTTGGGGGGCCCCTATGGAGTTGGGGTATGCCACCCTCGCAGTACACGGCTGTGTCCCCAACCTGCGAATTCTCCAAACCCCAAACTATTGGGATTTTATGGAGGCATTACTAATGTACGCATGATGAATTATTAACTCCATATCCAGCTTCTCTCCCCTCTCTGGGGGATGGGGGGTGTTAAAAATTCCAAGCCCCTAACAGTGGCTCGGTCTTTCTGGAGACCAGCCCCCATCCAGGAGTCCACCCAGAGTCAGGTCATTAGAACAAAAGTTTCTCCTAGTGCTTGTATCACTTAGAAATTTACATAGTTGGAGAAGCCATGTCAGGGACAGAGTCAAAGACCACATATTAGAACAAGACTGGCTCTTAGTGCTCTTATCCCTAGGAATTGACAAGCACCAGGAATCTGGGGCAGAGATTCCTTTGTCTGACAGCTGGCTCTTTTAAAGTCTTATCCCTCCCCTCTACCCGTTGGGCTTCACATCTGGGTGCTCAGCATTGACCTTGGCGAGAGAGTCAATGACAGAAGTCCCTGCCAGTGAGCACAAACTCTAACCCTGGCCACCCTCCAAACCAACCTCAATAAAACCCGGGCCAGTCCCCTTTCTTTGCATTTTCAAGGCATTTGCCACTTGCTTGAGGAAGCCTGCCTTGCCCTTCCCAGAAACTTCGATTATGAAAGTAATAAACCTTTTCATATGTTTCTAGTAGGTATGTTTTAGTCTCCACTACTCAACCAAACCTTAGTGAGGGAGCGGGAAGGGTGGTGGGGATCCCCCTGCCTATACAGGTTACGGAAAAGGTGACATATATATATATATTGCAATATAGTTAAATTGTTCTATTGATGCATATTCATTGATCTTTTCATATCAATACCTTTGTTTTTTGTTTTTAGAGCAGGTTTTTTTAAGTTTATTTGTTTTAGAGAGTGAGCAGCATGCCTGCGCACAAGTAGGGGCAGGGCAGAGATAGAAGGAGAGAGAGGATCCCAAGCAGGCTCCTCTCTGACAGCATAGGGCTCGAACCCACAAGCGGTGAGATCATGACTTGAGCCAAAATCAACAAGAGTTGGCGCTTACCTGACTGAGCCAGCCAAGTGCCCACCCTTTTGTTTTTTAAAGTACATATGATGATGCGTTCATGTAACCCATTCTTTCTAAGTAGACAGTAACAGTTGGCTTATTACCAAGTTTTTCCTGCCCTAAGTAGACAGTAACAGTTGGCTTATTACCAAGTTTTTCCTGCCAAACCTGAGAATGAAAACTCACATTGCCGCGTTACAGAAGAACCAAACTTATAAATTATGTTCTTTTGCAACCTTAATACCTTTTTGAAATCTTTGCTCATCAAACATATTGAGAAAAGAATGTACAAAATGTCTTGTGGTAGGACTTCCTAGGAACATCCTGGGAGGCATCATGAAGATTCCTAACTGTGGGCAGCAGTGAGGGTGACCTCATGTTCCCCTCCCCGCCTCACCTCTGCCCTGCCCCATAGGTGACCCCTGTCCTGACGCTTTGTTGATCCTTTAGACCTTTGCCGTCTATTGTTTGCCACTAAGCGGCGTTCTTGCAGTTTTCCTTCTTCCATCTTTGCACAGATAAGTATCCCCGGAATTCCACTGAACAGAGAAGTATCCATGGAATTAGACTGGAAGGTTTTCCAGGGGTTTCTTTGCCTCAGTACGTTTCTCACATACGAGCACCTGAGGCTGCGGGCCTGGTCTAGGGCTGTGGGGTTCAAACCTCCCACCGAGCTAAGCGCCCCCAAGGCTTTACATCCCAAAGGAGTGGGGGTTGGGGCGCGGTGGGCAGACGACTCCCTGCTGGAAAACGGTCAAAGACCAACATGGAACCAGACTCATGATTACGAATGGTGAGGTCACACGTGGGGGGGGGTAGAAGGGTCACGGTTCCGTGGGCGGCCCGGCGGTTCCCAGCAACGGCCCGGGAGAGAACAGGTGGCAGCCCCCTGCCCCAGCAAGGTCGGCTCAAAGACGTGACCTCGGCCCGGCGTCACTCAGGCGGGCGGGGGCGGGGCCTCGTGAGCCTGCCAATCAGGAGCCGCCGGAGCCGTACGTGCGGGCGACGCGCTGTGGACGGCGGGGACTGTGTGCGGTCGCTGCTCTGCGTCCGCGCCTCGCATCCCGTGTCGCCGTCCTTAAAGGCTTCGGGCGCCTCGGCCGCATCCTCCGTGGCCGTGACCTGCGCTGCCGTGGCAGCCGGATGGTGGTCGGCCCGGCGCCGCGGACACCGCGCGATGGTGAGTGTGCGGGGCCGGGAGGCGGGCAGCGGGGGCGGCGGGCAGCGGCCGTGGCGGGACCCGGCCTCGCGGTGAACCCCGGAGCTTGCGGACCCTGGTCCGCGGCTGGCGCGGCACGCAGCGCGGGGCCGGGCGGCAGCCGGGACCCCGGCGTCCTGTCCCGTCCCTGTGCGCGACCGCGTGTCCCGGAGACTGGGCGATGCCCACGGGAGGGTCATCGGGGGACAGTCCTGCCTCGTTTTCCGGGGTTCATGCCCGGGAAGAGCTGTGGTCTGTGGGTTCCCCAGTCCCTCTCTCCCTGGGTGGGGGTTGGGGGAACCCGGTTTCTCCCTCACTTTTCCAAATGTCCGAGGAGCGGGGTCTCAAACCCACGACCCTGTGCTCCCAGCCTCGCTCTTTCGTAAGACTGGAAATGCCTAAATTTCCAGATCGTTCCCTGCATTCCGAAACGCCATCTTTCCTCTCCGGTTCAGAGCATCATTATTAACTATTTGTTCTCCGTGATGCGTTTCACAGTATGCAGGGTTTTATCATGTATCCGCGGGGCCATTCATGGCTCTTTTTAGAGATTTATTTATTTTTTTGCCCGAGGATATTTTACATAAGAGGAAGCCGAGTTAACCACCTGGAATAGATAGCTTGAAACCCCTTTGCCCCTCCTCCTACTACCATTCCTGGGCACAGACGTCCTGTGGGGAGTCCTTTGGTCGCAGTTCCTCTTCGGAGACTTCCCGGGGTGCTGTGCCCCGCATCGCCCCACCTGAGCTCGAGACCGCATTCGACTTCTTTAAGCCTGCGTTTCCCAGTGAGTTAAAATGTGTCTAATCAGTAGACCTTGAAAGTATAAAATTTTACAAAGAGGCAAGAAAAGGGTGAATTTCAGGGGAAGAAGAGATTTCCTAATTACATCTATTAAAAATGGTATTTTCTTTTTTTCTTCCCACCGGCAGGTATAATGACGCTCAGAGAGTTGTCCTTTGGGGCAATTTCAAAGGCAGTATCAGGACTTAGACTTGGAACCCCTGGAAATGTGTTCAGTTATGATTGTTTCCAAACAGTTTCTGGCCATGAAATAATAATTATCTGGCATATTTGTGGGTTTTGGAAAGAGTAGATATTTGTGTGTGGGGTTTTTTGTTGTTGAACTAGAAGAATGCCTTACAATTTTTTCCCTGCCTTACACATATGTAAACGCTGGGTATGAGCAATTTTGTTCCCCACAGTAGACTTATCACTTTTAAAATGTTAGTAGCAGTTAAGAGCAAGTTGGTAGGAAGCAGAAGCCTGAGGTCAATGATTCTAAGGTAAGGCTCCTCCAACTTGGGGCGCCTGGGGGCTTCAGTCCGTTAAGCCTCCGACTTCGTCTCGGGTTGTGATCTCACAGTTGGTGGGTTCGAGCCCTGCTTTGGGCTCTGTGCTGACAGCTTGGAGCCTGGAGCCTCCTTCCGATTCTGTGTCTCCCTCTCTCTCTTTTTCTGTTCCTCCCCCGCTCATGCTCTGTCGCTCTCAAAAATAAACATTAAAAAAATTTTAAGGTAAGTCATTCCCCCCCCCCCAATGAACCTGGAAAGGGAAATACTTGAAGGCCCAGTTGGCTCTTCCTGGAGAACCTCCCTCAGCAGGTATCCTACCTGCTCAGACACCACAGAAGGAGCTCAGAGAAGCTTCAGAATGAAGGAAAGCTAGGGATGCTTGTGTACATGGGGGAGGGGCTTAGGAAACGGCAGTGTTGCTCCTTCTGAGGTTGTAATCCTGGTTTCCCTGCGCTTCTTTCTTTCGTTTCCTTCCTTCCTTCCTTCCTTTCTTGTTTATTTTGAGAGACACAGAGTGCAAGTGGGGGAGGGGGAGAGAGAGAATCCTGAGTAGGCTCTACATTGTCAGCATAGAGCCTGACATGGGACTCGAACTCACAAACCGTGAGATCGTGACCTGAGCCGAAACCAAGAGTTGGACGTATAACCTACTGAGCCACCCAGGCGCCCCTCCTTGGGCCTGTTTCTAATGTTGATTTATTTTTGAGAGAGAGTGAGAGCCTACAGAGCCTACAGAGCCTACAGAGCGTGAGCAAGGGAGGGGCAGGGGGCCGGGAGACACAGAAGCTGAAGCATGCTCCAGGGTCTTTGTTAACTGCACAGAGTGAGATGCAGGGCTCGAACCTATGAACTGTGAGATCGGGACCTGAGCCGAAGTTGGACGCTTAAATGAACTGAGCCACCCAGGCGCCCCATCCTTGGTTTTGTTTCTAGACCTTGGCTTGAGCTTTGGGTCCACAGCGTAGGTGCACTTAGTAATTTGTGTACATTGACAAAGTCTGGGAAGGTCAGGAGATTGTCTTCTGGACAAAGAGTTTGTGAATTTGGGAGTTTTTTTGAGTCAGATCTTTTTTTTTTTTTTTTTTTTTAATTTCTGAAAGAGAGAGCGTGAACAGTGGAAGGTCAGAGAGAGAGGGAGACACAGAATCTGAAGCAGGCTCCAGGCTCTGAGCTAGCTGTCAGCACAGAGCCCCGACACGGAGCTTGAACCCATGAGCTGGGAGATCATGACTTGAGCAAAAGTCAAACGTTCAACAGAATGAGCCACCCAGCTGCCCCTTATTAACAATTTCTAATGACATGATGTTGAGCATCTTTTTATATACCTAATTACCATTTATATATCTTCTTGGGTGAGGTGTGTGTTCAGATCTTCTGCCCATTTTTAATTGTGTTGCTTGTCTTCAGGACTTTTACAAGTTCTTTGGACGTTTTGGACACCAGCCCTTTAGTAGAGAAGTGTTTTGTACAGTCTCTCCCAGTCTGTGGCTTCTGTTTTCCACAGAGTGGATTTTCATTTTAATAAAGCCACAATTAATGTTTTGCTGTTTTTTAAATTTTCATGGATCCTGATGTTGGTATTGAATCTAAAAAAATAATTCCCAAACCCTAGGTCACCTAAATTTTCTCCTGTGCTATCTCCTGGGAAATACTTTAGTCTTGGTTTTCTATAAGATCTAGGAATCCATTTTGAGTTAAATTTTGTGAAAGGTGTAAGCTCTGTATGTAGATTTTTTTCATGTGGAGTCTACTTTTCCTGGCACTTTGTGTGGAAAAGACTGTGTTTTCCCTGTTGAATTGCCTTCATCTTTTGTCAAAGATCAATTGACTGCACGTATTTGAATCTATAGGAAAGTATTAACTTTTGTGTGTGTTTTTTTTTTTTCATTTTATTTATTTTAGAGAGAGCACGCACGCGCACAAGTGAGGGAGAGGCACAGAGAGGAAGAGAGAATCTTAAGCAGGTTCCACGCTCAGCGTGGAGCCTACCACAGGGCTCGATCCTACACCCTGGGATCATGACCTGAACTGAAATCAAGAGTCAGACACTCAACCGACTAAGCTACCCAGGCGCCCCAACTTTTGCTTTTGTATATTAACCATTTATCCTTCAGCCTTACTTTACTCTCATTAGTTCAAAGGGCTTTGTTATTGTAGATTCATTTGCTCCTTAGTCCTGTTGAATGTGGCAAAGATAGTTTTATTTTTTTTTTAATGTTTGTTTATTTTGGGGGGGGGGGCACCTGGGCGGCGCAGTCAGTTAAGCGTCCGACTTCACCTCAGGTCATGATCTCTCAGTCCGTGAGTTCGAGCCCCGTGTGCTGACAGCTCAGAGCCTGGAGCCTGCTTTGCATTCTATGTCTCCCTCTGTCTCTGCCCCTCCCCTGCTTGAACTGTGTGTGTGTGTATCTCTGTCAAAAATAAACAAACATTGGGGCGCCTGGGTGGCTCAGTTGGTTAAGCATCCGACTTTGGCTTAGGTCATGATCTCATGGTTCGTGGGTTCGAGCCTTGCACTTGGCTCTGTGCTGACACCTCAGAGGCTGGAGCCTGCTTTGGATTCTCTCTGCCCCTCTCCAGCTCGTACTTTGTGTCTCTCTCTCAAAAAGCAATAAAATAAAACTTTAAAACAAACAAACATTAAAAAAAGAGAACTCTTAAAAAAAAAACCTAAAGTGATTATTGATAGGGGCACCTGAGTGTCTCAGTCGGTTAAGCGTCTGACTCTTCATTTTGACTCCAGTCATGATCTCTTGGTTTGTGAGTTTGAGCCCCTTGTCAGGTTCGGTGCCGATGGTTTGGAGCCTGCTCGGGATTCTCTCTTTTCTCCCTCTCTGCCCTTCCCCCATGTGCACTTGCCCCCCACCCCCAAAATAAACGTAGAAAAAATAAAGTGACTATTCGTATTATTGGATTAAATATGCCATCATTTTTTGTATGTCCTATTGGTTGCCCCTTTTCTTCATTTCTCTTTTGTATTCCACCTTTTTTCTGCCTTCTCTGGCTTTAACTGGACATTTTACCTGATTCCATTGTTTTCCCATATGCTCCTATCATATCAGTTAAACTTCCTTTTTTTCTTGTTTATTGGTTCCTCTTGAATTTACAGTGTGTATTCACAGTGAACTTCTCTTTTGAGTGACCCTAACACTTCACCTCCCTGCCCCTTGTAACATTGCTATCATTCATTTCACTTCCCCATAAGCTATAAAGTTACCAGATACATTAAAATTTTTTTTAATGTTTATTTACTTTTGAGACCGAGGCATGAGTGGGGGAGGGGCAGAGAGAGAGGGAGACACAGAATTCAAAGCAGGCTCCAGGCTCCCAGCTGTCAGCACAGAGCCCGATGCTGGGCTCGAACTCACGAACCGCGAGATCATGACCTGAGCTGAAGTCAGATGCTTAACGGACTGAGGTCCCCAGGTGCCCCACCAGATAGGTTTTTTTGTTAGTGTTATTTTAAACAAAGTATTATCTATCAGATGAAGAGTTTCGTGGGTTTTTTTTTTTTTTTTCAGACTAAGAATGTTTAAAACTTACTCCTTCTGAAATGTTCTCCCTTTTTTCATCATTTTCCTTTTTTTAAAGAAGTTTCTTTAATAATGTTTGCAAGGCGGGTATACTGGTGAAAAATTGCCTCAAATTTTTGTGTGTCTCAGAAAGTCTTTATTTCTCCCTCCCTTGTGAAGAATAATTTTGCTCAACACAGAGTTCTGGCCACATTGTTTTTCTCTGTGGACACTTTAAAATATTTCATTCCACTCTCTTCTTACCTGCATGGTCTTTTTGGGCACTGAGTATAAATTGATTCTTTGTTTCTCTATAACTGAGGTGTGTTTTTCCCTCTGGTTTCTTTCAAAATGAGGTGTATGCTAGGGGATTTTTGTTTTGTTTTGTTTTATTTGTTTGAAGACAGACCTAATGGCCTGAGAAGGAACTGAAGCAAACAGGCCTTAAAAAACAAAACAACAGGCCTTCAGTGTGCTGTTCTAAGTTGATCTGGCTAAGGGTTTATAAGAAATCAGCCCGGCGACCCAGTCACAGGAGGGACGCAGAGACTCCGAGCGCAGTGAATCGAGGCTTTATTAGACGCTCTCGCAGGAGCAGGTATCTGATGGGCAGGCACACGGGGGCAGTTACAGCAGACGGTTCATCCCGCAGGACGTGTGTCCCTCCCCTGATTCCTCACCGGCTGGGTGCTAGAGGTCAGAGCCTCACCCAGCTGTCGCTTGTGCCCACGTAAGACAAAAAGTAGTCTGATTGGGGGGCAGCTGGGTGACTCACTCAGAGGAGTGTGCGACTTGTGATTTCGGCTCAGGTTCGTGAGTTCGAGCCCTGCATTGGGCTCTGTGCTGACAGCTCGGAGCCTGGAGCCTGCTTCCGATTCTGTCTCGCTCTCTCTCTCTCTCTCTCTCTGCCCCTCCCCTGCTCACATTCTGTCTCTCTCTCAATAAATAAAATGCTAAAAACCAAAAATAAACCTTAAAAGATGGGATTTAGAGACCTTCCAAGTTGATGAATGCATGAAGGTGCTTGAGGGCACAGCTTGCGGAGAAAGAACCCAGAAGTTGCAAATGATCCTGCCCTGTCACCCCCGGTTCCCGTTCTTTCCCCCTACGCGTCTCTTCCGTTGGGCTGTTCCTGACTTGTAACGCTTATCATAAGCCAAGTGCTTTCTTGAGTTCTCAGAATTGTTTCAGCAAATTCCCAAACCTCAAGGGGTTTCAAGGGCGTCTGTAGATGTGTGGGTGGCTGGGTGGGAATGCCAGTAGACAGGGCACCCCATTTTGTGGCTGGCATCTGAACTGGGCCAGTCTTGGGGTGGCGAGTGCTCGATCTGTGAATCTGACACTACGTTGGGATGGTGTTGGTACTGAGCTGAACTACTGGCCACGGAATCGGTGATGTCAAGTTGGAGCAGTGGTGTTAGAGGAAATGCCACATACTTTATGTCACAGTCACTCACAAGTGCTTCCCTGACCCCCCCTCCCCCCCAGGCCAGTCAGTCGTGCTCGCGTCTCTTATTTCGGGAGGACGCGCCTGGTTAAGAACACGATATTGTGGTGGACCTATTTTTATTTATGTTTAAGCTTTTAAAAAACTTATTTTTGAGAGTGAGAATGAGCAGGGGAGGGGCAGAGAGAGGGAGATAGAGAATCCAAAGCAGGCTCCATGCTCCCAGCACAGAGTCTGACTCAGGGCCCGAACTCCCAAACCGCAAGATCGTGACCCAAGCCGAACTTGGGACCTCAACCACCTGGGCCACCCCAGCGCCCCTGTGGTCATATTTTTATTTTTATTTATTTTTAAGTTTTTTTAGTGTTTATATTTATTTTGAGACAGAGACAGACCATGAGCAGGGGAGGGGAAGAGAGAGAGGGAGACACAGAATCCAAAACAGCTCCAGGCTCCGAGCTGTCAGCACAGAGCCGGATGAGGGGCTCGAACCCACGAACCGTGAGATCACGACCTGATCCAAAGTCGGTCACTTAACCAGCTGAGCCACCCAAGTGCCCCTGTGGTCATATGTTTAAATGGCAACCTTTTTTTGTCTCTCTGACTTTGGAGATGGTAGTTTCACGAAGAGTTGTTGATTTTCGCATGTTGGTTTTTTTCCTTGCGAGGACAGGAACAGCAGCAGCTAAACTGCTGACGTGTCTGACCAGAAACCGGAAGTCTCTGACTCCACTTTTAGATGTTTGTTTGCTGACAGCTTTAACCCTCCCCGCCTCCTCCCTCCCCTGGCACCTGCGTGTGTAAGAGGGGACAACACACACTAGCTGGTCAGTCACTGCCTTGGCTCTGGCAAGATCCTCGGTTCCCAGAAGGCCTTGCCCCTGAACCCGAACTCTCACCAAACCCCCCCCGACCCCCGCAAACCTCAGTGAATAACCCAGGCCAGGCTCCCTTCCCTGCTCTCTCAAGACCTTTCCCACCGGCTTGAGAGGCCTGCCCTGCTACCCCCTCACCCCCACCCCTGGACACTTCATCATGGGAGTGAGAAACCTTTTCAGACCCCGTAGGCACGTGTCATCTCAGTGGGCATGCATTTGTTTGCTAACAGTTGGTGAGAAGCAGCTCCGAGGCCCTAGAGGAGAGAGGTTTTGTGGGGCTCTGAGTTGTGAGGCTGCCTTTCTCGTACCTGAGCCGTAATTTCCGAATCACATCCAAGCGCCGTGAAAGGGCACAGATAGAAGGGAATGACTGAGGGGCGCCTGGGTGGCTTAGTCGGTTAAGCGTCCGACTTTCGCTTAGGTCATGATCTCGCGGTTCGTGGGTTCGAGCCCCGCGTCGGGCTCTGTGCTGACTGCCAGCTCAGAGCCTGGAGCCTGTTTCAGTCTGTGACTCCCTCTCTCTCTGACCCTCCCCTGCTCAAGCTGTCTCTCTCTATCTCTCCTAGAAATAAATAAAACATTAAAAAAAAAAAAAAAAAAGGGAATGACTGAATCTCTGACAAATGTTTTTATAGACAAGTGAAAATGAACACTCTCTGCCAGAAAACTTGCAGCCCACTGCATCCGACTACTTCCGATGGCCTGGAGTACTTGGGGACAGTGTGGCTCGTGGGTCCTGGTTATACATCGGACTCCCACGGGCCTTCTGGCCTTTCATGGTTGCCAGTGGAAATAGAAGCAAAAGCTCTTGGGGCGCCTGGGGGGCTTAGTTGGTGAAGCATCCGACATCGGCTCAGATCACGATCTCACAGTTCGTGGGTTCGAGCCCCGCATCGGGCTCTGTGCTGATAGCTCAAAGCCTGGAGCCGGCTTCAGATTCTGTGTCTGTCTATCTGTCTCTCTCTCTCTCTCGCTCTCTCCCCCTCCCTCCCTCTCTCTCCCCCTCTCCTCCTCCCTCTCCCTCCCTCCCTCTCTCCCTTAAAAATAAAAAGTTTTTTTTTTAATATTTTTATTTATTTCTAGGATAGAGAGAGACAGCGTGAACAGGGGAGGGTCAGAGAGAGAGGGAAGTACAGACTCTGAAACAGGCTCCAGGCTCTGAGCTGGCAGTCAGCCCAGAGCCCGACGCGGGGCTCGAACCCACGAATCGTGAGATCATGACCTAAGCGAAAGTTGGACGCTTAACCGAGTAGGCCACCCAGGCGCCCCTAAAAAGATTATTTTTTTAAAAAGTAAAAGCTCTCAATGTTTCACTGTGTCTTTATTCATTAAAACTTCATGTGGCTGTGCCCCTCTACTCCATGGAGTGCTCTGTGACCTGGTGGGAAATAAGAAGGGAAGTGAGCTTTTTCTCACAAGGAATTGGTGGTCTTAAAATGGAAATGTTTCTTTCGTTTGTATAGTAGTTCCTTTTCCAGCATGCTTGGTACATTACCATGAGAAAGCAATGAGAATTGACATGAACATCGTAAAAGTAGGAATAAATTTTTTTAAGTTTTATCTATTTCAGAGCAAGAGTGCGCACACTTGAGCAAGGGAGCAGGCTCTGCGCTGACGCGGGGCTCGATCTCAGGCACCCCGAGATCATGACCTGAGCCAACATCAAGTGTCGATGCTTAACCGACTGAGCCACCCAGGCGCCCCCAAAGTAGAAATAATTTTCGTGTATTCGTGACAGAAATTTATGAGGACATGATTATGTGTAGAGAGTGGGAATTCTGATGACCAAAGTCTTAGACTGTTTTGAGATCACAGAATCATGTGAACTTCTTATTAATTGACTGTAGATTTCTAGTGCTGTCTCATCCCTCCTCCACATGTGTGTGGGATGTTTTAGGACACAGTGGCCTTTGAGGATGTGGCTGTGAACTTCACCCTGGAGGAGTGGGCGCTTCTGAATCCATCCCAGAAGAAGCTCTACAGAGATGTGATGCAGGAAACCTTCCGGAACCTGGCCTCAATAGGTAAGGGTGACAACTCCCTTTCACCCAGTTCGTTAGGGCATGCATGTTTCTCACCCGTCCGTGCTCTTGAGTTAGGAACGGGGAGATGGACTACTTTGGCAAATCAGGCGTGGGCAGAGCTTATCATGGGCTTGTAATGTAATAATTCTATAATTTATTGGTTTTTTTCTGGGTTTGCATTGTAGGGAAAAAGTGGAAAGACCCTAACTTTGAAGATCAGTACAAAAAGCAGGGAAGAAATCTAAGGTAGGTTGCATGCGTGGTGGAAAGGAGCATCCAAAGAAATCTTCATATGTTACGAAAATGTAAAAGCAAGCAAACATGGAGCGCGTGCCTGGGCGGCTCCGCCAGTTAAGCATCTGACTTCGGCTCAGGTTATGATCTTCTTGTTCATGGGCTCGAGCCCCGTGTCGGGCTCTGGGCTGACAGCCTGGAGCCTGCTTCGGACTCTGTGTCTCCCTCCCTCTCTCAAAAACAAACATTTAAAAAAAATTTTAAAACAAGCAGACACAAGACGGCCCAGCTTCAGATGTATTTTTCCTAGGGGCACCTGGGTGGCTCAGTTGGTTAAGCGTCCGACTTTGGCTTAGGTCATAATCTCATGTTCATGGGTTCGAGCCCCGCATCGGGCTCTGTGCTGACAGCTATCTCAGAGCCTGGAGCCTGTTTCAGATTCTGTGTCTCCCTCTCTCTCCGACCCTCCCCTGCTCACGCTGTCTCTATCTCTCTCTCAAAAATAAATAAAACATTAAAAAAAAAAAAGATTCAGTAATTTAAAAAAAAGATGTATTTTTCCTAGAAAATTGTCACCAAAGTGCTTTCTTAAATGTGACAAATGTTCAGTGTTTGCAGGAAAGTTCATTTGGAGTATTCAGAAACTCCGATGTGATCCTTACTACTTCCCCCTTTTTTTTTTTTAAGTTTTAAAAAATTTTTAACTTTTATTTATTGTTGAGACAGAGACGGAGCACGAGCTGAGGAGGGACAGAGAGACAGGGAGACACAGAATTGGAAACAGGCTCCAGGCTCTGAGCTGTCGGCACAGAGCCCAATGCGGGGCTCAAACCAACGGACCGCGAGATCATGACCTGAGCCAAATTCGGGCGATTAACCGACTGAGCCACCCAGGCGCCCCATCCTCACTACTTTCATATAACAGTTATGGTTGAGCAGAATATTCATTTTCAAGCTGTTCACACAGGACAGAAAAACCTACCCTTTCCCTATGAATTGTAACAGTGTCATCCTAGTATTTGTTTTTTAAGTTTTAATGTTTCATTTATTTTTGAGAGAGAGACAAGAGTCTGAGCCAGGGAGGGGCAAAGAGAGAGGGAGACACAATGCATGAAGCAGGCTCCAAGTTGTCAGCACAGAGCCTGACCCAGGGATCAAACCCATGAACCACGAGATCATGACCTAAGGCAAAGTCAGATGCCAAACCAACTGAGCCACCCAGGTGCCCAAATGTAATCCTAGTATTTACTGATAGAAAGGCACAAATCAGTAATGCACTTCTGGTGTTATTTTTTCCAGGAGCCGTATGGTAGAGAGGCTCTGCCAAAGCAAAGAAGGTGGTCCGTGTGGAGGCGACTCCGGCCCCGTTCCGCATCTTAATCTGCACAAGGAAACTCCTCCTGAACTAAAACCGTGGGGGTGCAGCGCGTGCGGGAAAGTCTTCATGCGTCATTCATCCCTCAATCGGCATAGGAGATGTCACACGTTGAGCAAACCGTACAAGTATCAGGAGTATGGAAAAAAGCCTTACAAGTGTAAAGAGTGCGGAAAAGCTTTCAGTTACCTCCAGCCTTTTCAAAAACACGAACGAAATCACAGCGTAGAGAAATCTTACGAATGTAAGGAATGTGGGAAATCCTTTCGGTATCGCCAGTCTATTCGAAAACACGAGAGGACCCACACCGGGGAGAAACCCTACCAGTGTAAGCAGTGTGGAAAGGCCTTTCGATACCATCAGACCTTTCAGACACACGAACGGACGCACACCGGGGAGCAGCCTTACCAGTGCCCGCAGTGCGGGAAGGCCCTCAGTTGCCCCAGTTCGTTTCGAAGCCACGAGAGGACTCACACGGGAGAGAAGCCCTACGACTGTAAGAAGTGCGGTAAAGCCTTCAGTTGTCTCAGCTCTCTTCGAAAACACGAGAGAACTCACACCGGAGAGAAACCCTACGACTGCAAGGAATGCGGCAAAGCCTTCATTTCTCTCGGGAGCTTTCACAGACACATGATCACGCACACCGGCGTCGGGCCCTACAAATGCAAGGAGTGCGGGAAGGCCTTCAGCTGCCCCAGTTCCTATCGAATACACGAGAGGTCGCACACCGGAGAGAAACCCTACGAGTGCAAGCAGTGCGGCAGAGCCTTCAGCTGCTCCAGTTCCTTCCGGACCCACGAGCGCACCCACACCGGAGAGAAACCCTATCAGTGTAAAGAGTGCGGCAAAGCCTTCCACTGGCTCACCACCTTCCAAGTGCACGTGAGGACTCACACCGGGGAGAAGCCCTACATCTGCAAGCTGTGCGGGAAGGCGCTCAGCTGCCCCACGTCCTTCCGGAGGCACGAGCGGACTCACACCGCAGAGAAGCCCTACGAGTGTAAGCAGTGTGGGAAAACCTTCAGCTCCCCCCTGGGCCTGCAGATACACGGGAGGGCCCACACTGGCGAGAAACCCTACAGATGCGAGGAGTGCGGGAAGGCCTTCATCTCTCTCACCAGCTTCCGGAGACACAGGATGACGCACACCGGCGACGGCCCTTACAAATGCAAGGACTGCGGGAAGGCCTTCAACTGTCCCAGTTCGTTCCGAATACACGAGAGAACCCACACGGGAGAGAAACCCTATGAATGTAAAATATGCGGGAAAGCCTTCAGCTGTTCGAGTTACGTGCAGGTCCACGAGAGAACCCACACCGGAGAGAAACCCTACGAGTGTAAGGAGTGCGGGAAGGCCTTCGTTTATCGCACCACCTTTCGAGGGCACATGAGAGTCCACACTGGAGAGAAACCCTACAAATGCAAAGAATGTGGGAAAGCCTTCAGCCGCCCCAGTTCGTTTAGAAGCCATGAAAGAATGCACACTGGAGAGAAACTTCTTGAATGTAAACATTGTGGGAAAGCCTTCAATTGGCCCACGTCCTTACATAAACACGTGATGAGAATGCACGCGAGATAGAGAAACTCTAACCGCAAAATGCAGGAAAGTGTTCAGTCCTAGCGAACGCAAAGTCATGTGAGGAAAAAAAAAAATGCCACTGGAGAAAAATGACAGAAGTGTCAGTGATACGGGAAAGTCTGATGCGGATTCAGATACGGTGCTCCAGAGAATCCACAGCATGAAAGAAGTGCTTCCAAAGTTGAAAATAACAAATTCTGTTCTGAAACTCCGTCGCCGGACGATACCTTCCAGTCGTGTGTTTCAGCCGAATATTGAGTTGAGACCACTCTCTGAGCCCTGTTTAAGCAATAGTACAGAAGCTTACGTAGTCTTTTTCCTTAAATCAGCTTATAAAAGTCTTGTCTTTCCATTTTGAAGTCTCTTGAATCTATGGGTGAGTTAAAGTGTATTTGTAACATGTAAGTATTGATTTTTATGTAACTTTTTAACCGTTCTGTACGTGAAGGGGCCATGGAATGAGGACATTTTGCTATTTGTTGGGATTTTCCTGTGACCTATTGTCACAGGTACTAGATTTTCCTTGTCTATTATAAATATTCCTCCTTTCATATAAGAAAAGGTTACTTTCTTTTTTTTTTTTTTTTAAATTCAGAGAGTCTTTTCTTTTTCCCCCGGTTAAAAAAATTTTAGGCAGAAATTGTAAGTATGCAGTTTATTATAGAATATGATTTCATTAGAATTGCTCTTTACATACCTTCCCTTTTACCCTTTGCCATTTCTTCCGACTGTGATTTGGAGATTACCCTTTTAAGAGACCTGTGATCAGACAAAAAGAAAAAACCCACAAATGTAGGATTGGAGTTGGGACTCCCGGGATTCGCTAGGTCAACACGGGTAATGCTGTGACCTAATTTTCTAGAATCTGCTCTCTTTATAGTTTCAGGTTAGAATTCACCAGTAGCCACTTGCATGAGATTTGGAAGGCAGAAAGGGAAGAAGGCCTTAGTTTTTGGAATCACCGTGAAGCCAGTGATAGGTGCCATAGGAATTTGACCTACACCTTCTGCCCCATTTTGCTGATTTTTTTTTTTTTTGCCCTGCCCATCAAGACTTCTCTGCAGTACTGCCGCCGGCTACGTGACCTCCATTTTCTCAGACCCGTAGGTTTCCACAGAGGCCGCCACAAGTTCTATAGCAAAGAATGATGCCATTTGGATTTTCCTGTGAGCCATCGTGTGTCCACCAGACTGTCATGGCTGAGAATGTTCTTTAAAGCGCTGCCTTCTCTCCTCTCCCGACTGTAGATGTATAGGGTCTAATTTGTGTAGTAAACACCTTGTTCTGTTAATACTCCTGATTCCTCTGTGTTCCTGATTCCACAATACAGCGACAACGTGTGGCCAAGAGGAACCACATGGTAATTTGGTCCCCTCCTGTGCTGTATGGTGATTCCTGTGAAAACAAGCCTTTTCATGTGAAAATAAGCACCTCCTTCTTATCCGGCAGATTGTGGGTGTTTCTGATTATTTGCATCTGAACGTAAGTCTTCGGTACATTTCCAGTTATCTTCGTATGTGACTTAAAACACGTTTTAAAAAATCAAACCAATGTTTCTGTACACGTTCCGTAAAATGTTTTATTAACGGTTGGGTATTAGCAAATATCCTACATTTCCTGATGGGATATATTAAAACGTCCCATTGCATCCCATTGCGAAGTCATCCTGTAATGCTGTCTTTATACATTGAGGACCATCACGTGCATACAAGTTCAAGTATTTTTTCCTCCAATTTGGGTGTTTATTCTAGAGTCCTAATTTTTGTAATTAAATTTCTCATCATCCTTAATTCCAAAAATTTACATCACGGTTTTGTCAGTGTCTTCTTGCCAAAGACTTCCGGACGTCTGTGGTCGAAAGGAGAATGGCAGAATGGATTGGAGCCATAAAGGTGTCCACAAACCATTAATAACAACGTCTGGGGCGCCTGGCTGGTTCAGCCCACGGAGCACGCGACTCTTGATCTCGGGGTGGTGAGCCCGAGCCTCACGTCAGGTGTAGAGATGACTTTAAAAAAATAAAATCTTGAAAAATAAAAACAACAACAGTGAAGTCTGTCAATGTGAAGGTGCTCAAGTGGTCTAGGACTTGGACTTGTGAGACTCTTACAGAAATTAATACGTTTAAAAGCAGACATTTTTACAGGAGAATTGGGAACAAAGCACCCCACAGGCTCTGGGAAGACCCGCGCGCAGGAAAGGCCTGCATGCTGGGCTGAAGTGGAAGTCTTTTCTTTGCTGCGTGGGACCAGTCTGCAAAGAGGTGATGTGGGTGTTTCATCAAATGTCCAAGTCTCGACAAAAGATCCTAAGGCTTGGAAATACGGCTCGCTAAAAATCAAATCCCAAATCTCCAGAAACCAAGCCTAACAAAAGAGACCTCAGACTTTAGTAGACAGACTTTTAAATAATACTCCTACAGAGCTAAAAAGGAAAATAACTAATGTCAAGAAGACAGTAGACGAAGAAATTGAGAATATCAAAGAGAAATTTTTTTTTTTAATTAAAATTCTGGAGCCTGGGGCACCCGGGGGGCTCAGTTGGGTGAGCGTCCAACTTCAGCTCCGTCCGTCCTCCACTCACGCTCTCTCAGATATAAAACCTTTAGGAAAAAATTCTGGAGCTGAAATCTGCAAGAACTGAGGTGAAGAAAATTCACTAGAGGGGTCCAAAACAAACTTGAACAAGCAGCAGAAACAATCTGTGAAGTTGAAAACAGGCCGTTTGGAATGCGAAGTCAGTGGAGCAAAGAAAAACAGAATAAAGGAAAGTAAACTCAGCCAAGGAACTTCAGGGAAACCATTAAACCAACCAGTATGCACATTATGGGAGCCTCAGGAAGGAGGGAAGGGAGAGAAAGGGTCAGAGAGTTAATTTGCAGCAATAATGGTGGAATATTCTCCTTTCTCTGTCTGGTGGTCCTGTTATGCACATTTGTGCACTTAGTATAATTCCACGTGTTCCAGAGGCTCTTCATTTTTCTTCATTCTCCCCTGCTTTTTGCATAATCTTAATGCATCTATAACTGTCTCACTGTTGATATTCTTCAGTGTGACGTCATCATCACACCCTCCTTCTTTAAATATAGTTTCCCTTCGATCTCTGAGTGTATTTATAACGGGCACCCTGAAGTCTTTGTTAAATCTGCCCTCTTTCTGGGCCCTCTCACGGGCAATTTCTGTTGTCTGCCATGTTTTCTGCTTGTAAGTCCATCCTTTCCCTTTTGATTTTGCATGGATTACACATTTTCAGTTGAAAATTTGACATCTAGATTATAGACTTTTCAGGGCTGCTGCTTGTTTGCTTGTTCTTTGGTCAGTGATTAGCTGACATTTTGGTGACATCTGTTTTTTCCCAACTGAGCCACTGAGATGCCTCTGATGTTTATTTTTGAAGGAGAGACAGACAGTAGGGGAAGGGCAGAGAGAGGTGGGGGAGACACAGAATCTGAAGCAGGCTCCAGGCTCTGTAGTGAATAAATGTTTGTTTTATACCTTTATGACACTTTTCCAGAGCCTTAAAAGGATTGGATTTTTAAAGTGACTCATCATATTTGTTTTGCTGGGGAGAGGGTCCACAGAGCTTAGCTCCTTATGCTACCATTCCAGAGTAGTATCTTTTTCTTTTGATGCTATGGTGAATGGAACTTTCTCATTTCAGTTTTGGATTTTTCATTACTAGTATTTAACAATACTTTTTTTTTTTTTTTAATGTTTCTTTTTGAGAGAGAGAGAAAGCACAAGCAAGGGAGGGGCAGAGAGAAAGAAGGAGACACAGAATCCCAAGCAGGCTCTGAGCTGTCTGTGCAGAGGCCCACGCGGGGCTCAAACTCACAGACTGCGAGATCATGACCTGAGCCAAAGTCAGACGCTCAACCGACTAAGCCCCCCAGGTGCCCCGTTTGGATACTTATTTTTACAAACAAGATTGTGTCATCTGCAAATAAAGAGTTTTGCTTCTTTCTGGTCTCTGTTCTTTTAAGTTTTCTTCCTTGCGTTGCATTAATTAGCGTAGTGTGTGTGCCCGGACAGTTATGAACAGAAGTAGTGGAAGAGGGTACTTGTTTTGTTTCCAGTTGGAGGAGGAATACATTCAGTCTTACACCCCTAAGTATGATGCTACCTGTAGGTTTTTCATATGTTTCATCAGATTGAAGTTTCCTTCTAATTTTCTTTTTGTTGGTTTGAGAGAGAGAGTGTGAGCAGGGGAGGCGCCAGAGAGAGAGGGAGACAGAGAATCCGAAGCAGGCTCCAAGCATGGAGCCCGACGCGGGGCTTGAACTCACAAACTGAGACCATAACCTGAGCCCGAGTCGGACACCTAACCAACTGAGCCACCCAGGTGCTCCTGAGATTTCCTTCTAGATACCATTTGATGAGAAGTTGTATAGTGAGTGGATGTTGGATTTTTTTCATTTTTTTCTCTGTGGGGATTATCCTATACTTTAGTCTTTTAGTATCTTACATTGGTTTTAAGATATTAAATCCATTCTTGCCTTCTCAGACAAATTCCACTTGGCGGTAGTGTATAAACCTATATGTGTATTGTCAGATTTCACTTCTCAGTATTTTGTTCAGAGATTTTACGTTTGTGAAGGTCATTAATCTAATTGTTGTTTCTTTTCCCTGCTTCTTTTCCCAGTCTGCCCAAACCTGCTTGTGTTTCAGTGTTTTCCGCCTCCAGCTTTATTGTGGTATAATTGGCAAATAAAAATTATAAGAGACTTAAAATATACATCGTGGTGGATGGAGCTCCTGGGTGGCTCAGCTGGTCGAGCATCCGACTTGATTTCAACTCAGATCATGATCCCAGGAGTCATAGGATCAAGCCCATGTCGGGCTTCATGTTGAGTGTGCAGTCAGCTTAAGATTTCTCTCTCTCCCTCTGCTTCTCTCTCCTACGGGTGCTCAGGTGCTCTCTAAATTAATATCCGTGGTGATTTGACACAAGTATACAGTGTGAAAGAATTCCTGCCATTTTTTTCTTGTGATGTCTCTGGATTTGATAAAATTATTTATAATGTAGTTCCTCTTTTGTTTGTTCGGTACTGGTATTATTTCTTTAAAGTACGTT